AACAAGCCGACATCCCGCTGTCGCGGGGCGCGGAGATGAAGGGCAAGTGCAGCGCTAACGAGTCGGAGCTGGAAATCTCCTGGCTGGAGCAGGCGTACACCCTCAAACTCTTCTTCCTAAAGGTATGGGGGACACGGGGGAGGGGGAACGGGACACGGCGGTCTTGGCGGCTTCTGACCGGCCCTGTCTCGGCAGGAGGGGCACAACACGTCCCGGGGGCAGGAGGCTTTCTGGAGGCTCAGCCGCATCCAGTTCACCTACGACACCGCCGAGCGCACCTACTTCAAGGACGCCGTCAACCGTAAGCGCCCCCGGGGGAAAGGCGCGGGGGGGACACACACACAAGGGTTTGGAGCAGATTCTGGGGATCTGCCGAGCGCGGAGCCGGCGGCGGAGGGAGAGCACGGACGGACACCCCGCGGGCTACTCGCGCTTTAACGGGAGAGAAAAAATTCCCGAACCCACATGACAAAGCAGGGATCAGGTGCCAGTTTTAAGCCGCGTATTCCATTTATTTTATTTTGTTTTCCCCTTTTTAGTCTTGTTTTTCACCCCTGCAGTTGCCGCGGGGTGGAGGGGGGGGGATCCCGACGGCTCCGCCAGGCCCTCCTGGTGGCACCCAGGGGCCCGAGGGGGTGGGCAGCGGGGCAGGTGGACGCCTCCTCGGGAAAAATTGATCTTCTTTCCTGCGGGAGATGTTTTTTAAGGTTAATTATCTCCTCGGTTCTGATGATGGTCGAATAGGTGGGAAAGCAGCAGCTTCCCAAGATAACGATGAGTTCGACATCAGTCTCCATACCCCTACACACCTCCACCCAATGGCAGCCTCTTTTCTCACCAGGTTTCCTTTCTTTTAGCTTTCATTTTGGTTTGATTTCGTTTCTGCTCAGAAATGAATTGTCTTGTATTTGAAAACTGAAATACTGCCATTTGTAAGTTGTTCTCCCTCAACATTTTCAAAGTCAGGGGAATGGTGAGTTGTGAGTTTGAGACACACTGGCCGTGGAGCTATTTTTCCCACTGGTGTTTCTACTCTTTGTGTCCCCAAAACACGGTGGTGGCCGTGCCTCATCAGCTTCCATAAACACAAAACAGCGATTGCTTTTCTGTGGTGCTGGAGGGGAACAAAGGGCTGCAGAAGGGTGGGAGGTAGACAACGCCCCTCATTCCACCTTGCTGAGATGCATTCGGCCTTCGTTTATAAAACAAGATTGATGTGATGGGGAAATATTTTCTTGTAAGTTATACTTGGGTGAAACGGTCCAGTTGTCTTTACAGGAAGGGTGTTATGGCCCGTTTTGCTTTGCAGTGAGGTCCCCAAATTGCGTTGCTCCTTCCCACCTGAATTCAGAGCCCAAGTGCCACCACAGGAATGGCTCTTTCCCAAATATATGGAATATGAGGACAGTCCAAGACTGAAACCTGTGTGTACATCAATAGAAACCATTCCTCTGACTTTACAGACTTTAAGACTGGTGGCACGGGCATAGCTGGCAGCAAGCAAAGCCAGCTCTCCCTTTCGTGCCGGCAGGACCGGGTGCTGCAGCCATCCATTCCTGCTCATGAGCAGGCACCCCCGTGTGAGAACTCCTCCAGCTATGTGGGGGGGGTGTCAAGCCGAAAGCGTGGTCCCACCCCAGGAGAAAATACTGCTGTGAGAGCGGTGGAGCGTGCGGCCACCGCATTGCCCGCTGCCGCTGCGTACCCTGGCCTTCCATCTGTTAGCTTTCCTAAGAAAGTCATGTCGGTACCCCCGAGACGAGACCTCATGGCTGCTGTTTCTGCCCTTTGGCCAGCTGGGAAGCACACGGCCAGCTCGCACCGGCTCTCTGCCCTGGTAACCCCAGCTGGGAAGTCCTACGAGTGCCAGGCTCAGCAAACCATCTCCCTCATCTCCAGCGACCAGCAGAAGCCCGTGCAGCTCTTGCTGTCGGAAGTGCGTGTCCAGCCCTTCGACATCGCCGCGGATTTTGTCTTCAGTGAAGGTAAGGTGCAGGGCCAAGGCACGTCCTGTGTCCCCCAGGTGCTGCGGCTGCCGCTGTCGCAGTGTACTGCAGGAATTTGGGTGCCAGCTTTTTCAGAGAACCTTCCCCTCCTTCCAGCAGGCTGTCAGTGCTCCCTGCAGTCCCTCCAACCCATTCCCTTGCCTCTGTGGTCCCCCAGCTGCTCTTTGCTCAAAACATGGGCTATCGTTGCATGTATTCTGGCTTCTCTAAGGAGCTGCCTGGTCCCTGAGGAGCCCTGCGAGGCTTAAGGCATCTCCTCTGCAGCACAGGAGGTGCTTTGATACAGCTCCGGGGGCTTTTTAGGGCTGTTGCATGCCAAGGAGAGCTTGGGGCTGCAGTGGCAAGGCAGTGCTTGCGATGCCCGTTGCTGGCTTCAGTTTGATTAATGCTCATTGCAAGGGTGAAGGAGGCGTAACGGGGACTTCAGTGAGGCTGCCTCCTGCGCCAAACACGCGGGACACTCTTCCTCCTCTTAGGTTTCTTGAACATTAATTGCAGATAAAAGAAAGTGTGAGTTAACGCGTGCTGTTCGTATCAAAGGGTTGTACTGGAGTCAGCAGCAATGCTGCCATGGGGCAGAATTCCTGCAGATTTTGCTTTCCCTGATCCCGAGGAACCCGTGGTGCTCCTCCTCCCCAGTGTCCCCCCTGCCTTTTCCGTCAGGTTGAATGAGGGCGTGTAAACACACTCACCTGAATTAAGGCTTTGAGACTAGTTCCCTTTTTCAGTGCCATCTTAGAGACTAGTCTTTGAGACTAGCCCCCTTTTTAGTGCCCTCTTAGAAAGTTAGTTAACTCCATTATTGTAACCAGATGCAAATAAAATTTGCAATAGCCAAATCTCTTTTACTAACAAGCTAGAAAATGGTAGTGTTATTTTCAAACCTAGCATTAAAAACGTGGGGCTTTATTATTTTGCATGTGGGAAACATTTTAGAACACAGTAAAAAACCAGCACGGACTTCAGAGCCAAGCACTTACGCTCATGACTCACATTCCTCTAACTGATGTAGTAAATACATGCTATTATGTACACTGGCTGTGGCAGAGCTGAATTACTCATGGCAGGGCCAGTGTAGTACAGAGTACTTTTTATACGTGGGCACAAATTTTTTTTTTTCCAATCTGAGTAGTACCACATTTTGTATAGTTACAGGGAGAAAAAAGGTAGAATTTAATAGTTTCCTATCATTTTTTGTTGGCACATCTTCATGTTTCTCCCTCCTCCTGTGGTTCCAGGCTCTCTGCACTCAGGGTTTGGCTGGCAGACCTTGGAGGCTGAGAAGACTGTGTTTAAAATAGGCAAGTCTGGACTCGGTTTTAGCTGCCCTGTCTCTGTGATACCAAACTTGTCAAGTCTGAGAGCTCACAGTTAAAAGAACCAAACTTGGGGTTTATTGCCAAAGGGAACTACCTGCCCTTTCCGTGATCTTTCATATCAGGCAGTAAAGCTGTTTCTTTTTAATTTTTTTTTCCTTTGTTGTTGTAATTTGGTTTTCTTTTCCTCCAGGACATGAGGAGACCCCAGTTGGTTAAGCAACCTTTAAACATGTGGGGAATTCGTCCTTCTGAAGAAGGCACAGTTTCTTTCTTTGTCAACCTTTCCATTTTTTTTGTTGTTGCTCTTGTTACTGAATGACACCTCTTTTTGTTGACTTCCACTGGAAGTTAAATAGCAAAGAGGACCTGGAGAGGCTGGTCAGAAATGCCCGAGGTCATTTATCAATGAAGCTTCACATGGGGCTCTGCTGCTTCTCCCAGCGGCACGTCCCCACCAGCCCTGCGGACCGGCGTGTCCCCGGCACATGCATGGCAAAACACGATCCTTTGTGGGGTCTGCACACTGCCAATCTTAAATTACACTAATTAGCCTTCTCCTTTTTGGTTCATTAATTTCCCATTAGATAAAATTCCTATTAATTATGAACAAGCTACAGAACATTTTAAAATATTTTAGAATAGAGGAAGAGACCTACTAGAGCAGGAGAATTGCCGAGACACAGGAGGGTCAGGACCCTTTTACCACAAAGAAATGGGGGTAAAGGTTTTGTCATTAGTCGTGACACTGTCCTTTCTGGGATAGATTAAAAAGCTTGTAGGGAGTGATTGGATTGTTTTTATGTTTTTGAATGCTTACATTCATGTGCTAGAATATCTTTCTTCTTTTTTTTTTTTTGTTAAGACGGTGCTTCCGACCCTCACAAATACATACATATATATATATATATATATATATATATTTTTCAGTGCAGAAACAGCAGAACATTTTTTTCATTCAGAGCTTGGGAAATTTTATTTTTTTAATAGGGAAAACATATATGTTTTTCAGCTTAAAACATAACTAAAAAGAGAGCTGGATCAAGAGGGTGCAAGGAGAACACTTACATTGGCGAAAGAACCCCACAGATATTTTGATTTTAATCAAAATAATGCAGAGTACTAATACAAAAGGGCACAAAGGCTGGGAATTAGGGACCAGGATCCTAGGAGGTCTCGTTTTCCTCTGAGCCACTCCAAACAAGGGCCACATTTTCTCAAGGGTCCTTGGTGCCCAGTAGCTCTTTTCTGTAAGGTATTGTGTCCACATTTAAAAAAGCACCTTTTTTTTTTCCCCCCCCTTTTTTTAAGCTAATCACTTATAAATGCCCATCCCATAATCTCAAAAATCCATCCTGTCATGCCAGATGCAACTGGGCTGTTTTTATATCCCTTCGAGCAGCCCCTGCACCGGTCCTCAGGCTGGTGGTCGTGACTGCGGGAAACGGCGGATTGTTTTTGCCGTGCTGCTATTTGTTCCGCAGAAGGATGCTGAAACAAGAAAATGGGCCTGTTGGGTGGTTTCGTAGCCTAGTACTGAAATTGGATGAGCACTCACCATAGAAACCGTGGTGGTACGTGAGCCTGGGTGCTGCGCGGTGTTGGAGGAAGCACAGCACAAAAGAACAATGAGGAACGTACCTAAATGCTTCCTTTGTATCCGCCTGCAGTCTTTGTTCGACGGGGCAGGGACTGGGGCTGCGGGGTGGCATCTCTCCGGCAAAGGGGTGACCCTGGCTCGGTTCAGGATGCAGCAAAACTCCTGGCATCACCTGAACTTTTCACTTAGTTAAAATTTGCCAGGGACTTTTTTGGCTTTCCTGGACTGCGGGTAAAACCCACCGATTTGGGAAGTGCTGAGATCGCTGTGGGCCTGAAGTGAAATACTCAGGGAAACTTGATGGAAAGGGCTGTTTTCCTGCAGAAAGCAGTGATTTAAAATACAGAGCAGTTCCCATTGCAATGGTGTTTCGTTTGTCATGCATCAACCAGCCCACCTGCCTGCACTGTGCTTGATGGGTTGAGTGTCTGAATTTGTGCCCGCTGTGGACTTTATGCAAACGCTTCTCTCCTCCCACTCCCCCTTTTGCATTTTCCTTTGCTGACAGACCAGGAATGGTACCTGTTAACCACCTCCCCACGGTGTTGTGCACCTCAGTGCCAATGTGATGCTTTGAACTCTTGGGGTAAAAAACGCTGTATAAATGTTCGAGCACACTGTTATAAATGTGCAGATATTTTAAATAGTTGTAAAATGATGTGTTTTAACATTCTATTAACGTTAAAATTCAAAATTCATCCTCCTAGCAGTCAGCATCCGGAGAGCCTTAGCTCTGCTGCAGATGTGTTTGTGCTTAGCACTTGCCTGTGCTGCCATGCTGGGTTCCCCACAGCCCCATTCCCCCTCTGCTCTCTGAAGTATCCAGACTTTTGGCAATCTGCTCCACAAGGAGAAAATGGAAGTGTCTGGTGAGGAGAAGGTGTTGGTAAGGCAAGAGGTGGCTGCTCTGCAAGGCTGCCTTCGCTTTCTGCCTGGGGAGGTGCAGCTGGGGGGAGCAGCGTGGTTTGTGGATGTGGAGACTGCAAGCTTTGCTTTGATTTTTTTTTTTTCCCCCGTTCTTTTTTTTTTTTCCTTTCCTTTTTAATCCTCTTTAAAAAGTGTCAAGGATAAAGAACTATCTTCCTTGGCTTCTTGCAAGAATTGACACCTTTTTGAGTTGTGACTCAGACACTTAAATACAGTGGTGGCTTTTATGGGCACCGGAGTTTTGGCCACGTCCTCTGGCACATTTTGTGCTCTGCAGCCGGTTTGCTTTGGCAAAAGCTGGGGATTCGAATAATGCAAGCAGGTGTGTTATTGTTGGGTCAGTCCTCTGCATCGCAGCACTGGCGCTTTTAGCTTTGCCACCTTCAGTGCCTTCAGGCCCCTGTGTTCACCGCATTCTCCCCTGCAAACACAGCATCACTCTTGTTTAAGACAAGTGTTTGAGCCCCGGTGAGTGTCCCCAAAACAAAAATTTGTGCCCGCAGGAGATGGCTGGACTCAACCACGTCTCATCAGCACGCGCTGGCCCATCAGGCTGTTAGAGGTGTGTGGCGAGTGCACAGGAGCTCCTCTAGCCCAGATCCTGCCCGCAGGAAGGGTGCTGCTTGGCACGTGGGCAGCGGGCTCGGCGGGGTCGGAGCACCCCTGGCCCCATGGCACTGCCCCACGCGGGACTTTTCCCGCAGTCAGGTCGGGGGGCCTGCTGCTGTGGCTCTGCCTTGACGCTGTGAATCTCCTCAGGCCTTGGCATCCTGAACTGGGAAGAATTTCATAAAGTGCTGGGAGCCCAATTTAGGGAGCTAAATGATAATCAGGGTTTTTTTTTCCCTTTCTCCTTAATACAAACAAACAAAACCCCTGCATTGCAGCAATTGCTGAATTGCCTGTAACACGGTCCTGGTGATTAATCACTCCTCTGGTGAAACGGTGAGCAACTGGAACCGAAAGGGACATTTTTTTTGTTAGGCTACATTTCACTTTTGCTTTTTTGTTTCACTTCATTTATAGCTCAAAATGTTTCCTGATGGCACTGGGAGGCGACAGAGCTCCCAGAGGTGCCTCCACCGCTGGAGATTTGTCCCTGCTGTCACCTCCTGCCTGGGCCTGGGGGTCTCTGGGTTTTTCCTGCTCTTTGCCACATGCTGTTAGATTTGCAGAGCATTTTCCATTCGTGGTTATCACAGATCTCTGCGTCTAGCAATCAGCTGCCTGGGGAACCCATCTGGACAGTTTTTAGCAATGGAATTAGTGGTGCCCTTTTTTTTTTTCCCCCTTTTTTTTTTTTTTTTTTATAAATTACTTGCTGTTTTCATTGTTTTCAGCACAATTCTAGTACTGTGAAGATGATGATCCAAGGGCCAGAGCACTATGTCTTCTGTACATCATAACCGTCTTTTTTTTTTTTCCAGAGTTGGCATTTTTCTTCTTTTTGGTCTGGCAGCTCCATCTCGGCAGCATTGGCTCTGCCTGTCCATCAGCGTGGATAAGCAACAGTCCTGGGGGGTGTGTGAAATAAATCATGATCCTGTCATTCAGGCCTGCAGTAGGTTCTGGAAGTGTAAGGGAGCTGAACTGGGACTACCAACATAACATGTTTCCTAACCTTGGTGGCCTTTGCAAGCTAAATAGAAAAATGTTTTCCCGTTGCATCTGTGGTTATTATTTTCTAGTGGTTTATTAGACTTGTAAGCCAGAGAGAAAACCACTGGGAGGCTCATGCTCCTGCTTCTTTGCAATATTTGACAAAAAATGCAGAGTGCAGGAATGCTGTTGGGACCATGAGCACACGTGCTCTGCCAGTGCTGGTAAACTGCCCACGGCGAGCTCACAGAGCGGGGAGATGTGCTGTTAGATCTCTGTCAGCTTGCAGAGAGAAGGAACAAATCTTGAAATGATGAGCAGGGGAAGTCTGATGCAGGATTAAAGACTTAGTGATGTTGAGGTCTCGTGATTCAATATTTATAGACTCTGTAACTAAATAAATAAAAAGTGATCTTCAGTGGGGCTCAGGAAACTTGCACTTTTGCTGTCCCATTCCCAGCAAGGCCATTGCTGCGCTGGTGTGGGAGAGAGGCCTGAAGAGGAGCTTTGTGGGCATGAAAGTGTTTTTCTTCACTACATCGGCAGGTTTGATAGATGTTCCCTCTCCCTCCACACCCTGCACTGTGACTGTGATTTCACTTTCCTCCAAAGCAGTTGATTTTCTCCCTGGGACTCGGATGACGGTCGCTGTCTCTCCGTGATGCTGCAGGTATTTTTGCTGCACAGGGACCCCTGGCGTGGACCTGTGGCTCCGGGACGGTGGGTTTGCTGCTGCAGGAACTCAGATTTGCAGTGCCTCATTCATTTATCTCTTTCTCCCTTTTTTTTCCCCTTTCCCTGCAGAACACAAGTGCCCGGTGGACCAAAGGGAGCAGTTAGAAGAAACCTTGCCTCTGATTTTGGGCCTGATACTGGGGTTGGTTATCGTGATAACCCTCTGCATTTACCATATCCACCACAAGCTGACAGCCAACCAAGTGCAAATTCCTCGAGACAGATCTCAGTACAAGCACATGGGATAGGGAACGGCATTGAGCAGCTCAATTATTTATCAGGTAGAAAAAGCAAAAGCACTTTTTTCTGAGGGTGAGGAAAGGTTATAGGGGGGCAAGAGATGGTATTCACAACACCTAATTGGGGATATTTCATGGAGACACACAAGGTTAGGCTTTAATATAGTCAGTGCAGAGACAACATAGCTGTCTCTGAGAAGGCTCAAATCATCTGATTTTAGGAGTCTCTGGCAGTAGGTGATATGAATACCTTCTTAAGCAGCTGGGCCAATCATCTGGGAACAGAAATGCTTCACATGTCAAAAAGTTTTAACACTGGGGGCAAAATTAGCTTTTTTTTCTTTTTTTTTTTTTTTTTTTTTTTTTTTTTTTTTTTTTCTTTTTTTTTTTCCCCATCTCAAGAGACTCTTCCCTACCCAGTATGCTGCTCTTGGCAGCATTCGTCCCTCTCTGTTCATGTCCATGCAGGGAGCAGGGCAGGGGGACAGAGCCTTTAGACAAACTTCATTCTAATGAAGGGTCATCTAATGAAGGGACTCAAACCACATTCCTGAAGTTTGCAGTCATGTTAAGGAAAGCATGAAGGCAATACAGGTGTGTTTTGGGAGGAAGAAAAAAAAAAAAAGGCCAGGACCTTAAGCTGGCATAAACTGGAGTAACTCCAGTGGAGCAGATTGCAGCCAGCTGAGGAGCTGACCCCACATTTGAGACTGTGAAGAAAGCTTGTTTTTGCTTCTTGAGCCACATCTGAACTAAACTTTAAAAAAAATAATAACAAACAAAAAAGAGTATTGATACACAAATTATAAAGTGCCATGCTACTGCAAGTCAACTGAGAAATGCTTCTGGCTGGACATCCTGCACGTATTGTGATTGTCGTTGAGATGTTACATTGCTACCTGCAACTGATACTTTCACGATGAAACAAAATAAAAAGAAAACAGAAATGTTAAAGTTACTATGCAGATTATTCAGGTATAATCTAATGTAACAGAAAAAAAATACAAGGGAACCCTTGAAATCTATCCTTAAACGTAGACGATTTTTAAAATTAATTAAAACATGTACATATATAATACTTGATTTGCTGCCTTGTTTTGGAATGATGTACTGCTTTTTACTGACTCCATGATATCTAATGGAATTGGTGCAAAAATACATCGTCTAAATGGATGTTAAATGTAGCATTTATTGAAGTATTTTTGGTGAAAATGGTTTGCTGGAGACCTGGTGGTGGCTCAGTATTCCGTGATTTGCTGGTTATTTCTAATAGTCGTCTCATCTCTAGCTGTTTCTTACATGTTTTGTGGGCAAGGGCATGTTTCACTCTGGTCCTGTCCAGTTCCCCCTGAAACCTCTGACTTCTCTGGGCTCCAGTGTCACCGCAGCAAGTTAGTCCAGACCTTTGTTAGTTTAGGGTTTGGAAAATACCTTCCTGAACTGAGTTGATTTGAACAGGGACACATCTAAACTGTCCTCTTTCAGATTAAAACAGGGTGATAAGCAAAAATGATAATTTCAGTGTTGAGAAATGCAAGAAGACAAACTTAATTATTTTGTAATGCTGCAGCCTCCTCCAAATTTTATGTTTGGTTTTTGGGGTTTTTTTTGATGAAGCGGGATGCAGCAAGAGCCTTCCTTTAGTCCTGTCTCATTCCTGGTCTCATTTCTATGTTACGCTCAGCTTTTTGTTTTCTCTTGGGATGTAAGAGGCAAAATTATGGCACTAATGATTCGTAGGGCTTTGTCCTTTTCTTTTAAAACTCCAGTGAGAGTGTTCTGGGCGGGCCTTAGGCTGACCAAGTGCCACTGCCTACAATGAGCTGATTATTACTTTTTTTTTTTTTTTTTAAAAAAAAAAGGTTCTTACAGAGGCAGCCAGAAAAAGCCGTAGGTAGCAGGAGGGTGAATCAAAGGGTTAAAGGTTCATCCTTAATAGAGAGGGGCCGTAGTTACCAGCTTTGTTCCGCCTCGATCTTGTCTGCCCTCCAGCCAGAAAGGCTCTCCCAGCCAGCTCCCATCAGCCTGGAACATCTGCTCCTGTATTTGACATCAAAAAAAAAAAAAAAAGATAAAAAAGGAAGCAAACAGCTGAACTGCAGATGCCAGAGGAGCCCCTGCGCTGTCATTTGTCTTCTGAGGAGCATGTTTTGGCAAGGCAGTGGCAGGGATGGGCCCTTGGGATGCCACGGTTGTGTCAGTGAGCAGTGCTGGGGCAGGGCACGGGGGCATGATGGGGATGAAAATTGCATCAAACTGGAGAGATTCCAGTCAGTAAGAGGCCAGTCCCCACCCAGCCAGTTTCCTCCCAGTGAGCTGCAAGTCTTTGGTGACAGTAGGAGCAATTTCTTCTGGTTCAGTTGAGTGTAATTAGAGATACAAAAGAGTTGGGACATTGTGAAAAACGGGCAAAGAGAAGGACTTTCTAGCTGGAATCAAGAGGGTCCTGTTTTCTCCCTGTGCTGCCTGTTTCTCTGGGAGAGCCCACTGGGGCTTTTTTCCTCCCCTTCCACTTTTTTTTTTTTTTTTTTTTTTTTTCCTTGCAAAACTTTAGTTGCATATCTGCTTGGATATTGAAACTTTAAATGAGTGACATGAAAAAGAGATTCTTCCTCTTTGCTTGCCCTTAGTAGAAGCTTTACAGAGATAAGGAAATACATGCCACAGCATTTTTAGAAGTGTTTTTGATTTCTGATGCTGCTCTCCCTCCCCCCAGTTTTTAGCCTGCTGAAGGGACGACCATACCAGTAGTGGCTTTGGATGATTCAGCTGTTTTCCATAACCCCTGGGTGCATCCAGCCTTGTTCTGAGGCTGGTGGCAGAGGCAGGGTAGGTGCAAGTTATTCCAAAATACACAACCAAGCAGAGTCTTTATGCTCCTTCCTCTTGGCCTCCTGCTTTTGCCCTGTGCAACAGCTCCTCTCACAAGACATCAGTGGCAATCCCATTTACACCATAGTTTTTTATCTCCTGCAGAAATCCCATTATGCAGAGTGGGTTTGGAGGCAGGAAGGATTGTCGATAGCTGGCAAGGGGTTGACAGATACTTCCCAAAACCAGAGGAGGAGGTGGGAAACTCACGGCAGCATTTGACAGGCTACATTTAAACTTTCTTATTTGGAAGCCACAGTTTAGGGTTTACGTGGAGCTGTTTGAAGGCAACAAAACCTGGGGCTTGGCTTAGCTGCCTTAGCGTCACCCTTAGGAGAGGCAGTGGCGGGTGGAGGGAGCCACTCTCTGAATGTATCTCCAGGCTGGGTTTTGGAGCAGCTGGAGTTAGTCGTATTGTGTTAAATAAAGCTGTTGGTGGGTTTTAGCCCTTTGTAGGTCGCATCGTGGCTTCCCCATTTGCAGAAAGTGAGCAAGACCTGCCTGGTGTAACAGGGAGATACTCTCAGACACCTACACATATCTGAGATACAGAAAAAAAAATGCTAATTTATGGTTGACTTTGCAAGCTAATTTTAATTCAATCTAAGGTGACTTGTAAGGGCAGTCATAGCAGAGCCACCCAGGGAAAACATTGTCTTCACCCCCCGTAGGAAACTGTCCTCAACTGATAGCACTGCTTGAGCCAATGCATTGGAGCACTGGCATCGGCCATCTGATGAGAAGATGCCCTCAAAGCAGCACTTGCGACCCAGTGCCTACGTACCTTAAGAATTTTTGCTGCTTTTCATGTCAGAGGATAGAGGTTTCCCTTAGGTAGTGCTCAAGCATCACCTTAAGGTTGAAAGTGTCTGTAAGCTATCAGGACAGAGTTGCATGAAAACAGCAGTGAGTTTCTTGTTGTTTGTTTTTGGTTTTTTTTCAGTTAACACAGGAAGTAATTTTTTTGTTGGGCTGAAATGATTTTCCTCTCTTTTTTGGGAAGAAAGGAAATAGAAACAATAATTTCAGCTCAATGACAGCTGGCGTTGTGCCCCTGACTGATGTACCTTGTTTAAAGAAAAAGTTATTTAAGATGTTGAAAGAAAACCCTTTGAATCTTTTAATTCTTTCCATCCTTTTGAGAACAATTATTTATTGAATTTGATCTGCATTTTCCATCAATTTAAGCTTTCCAAGCCTATTTTTGAAAAATTGAGAGGTTAAAAAAAGCTGTCCAACTTCCCTCCTGCCTGTCCACCTACAGCAGCATCTTGAGGATGGCAGCACTTTTATTGTGATTTCATTTTATGTTTTGCATTCATCCATCAATGGCTTATTACGAGCTAGCTGCAAACTTGAACACTTTGCTTTATAGATGTTTATGAACACACTAGTAGAAGGTGGATAAATATAAGAAACTTATCATCCTACTGAGCTCTACAAGGACCTGTAATAATTAAGCACTAAAGCAGCTGTTAATGACTTACGAAGTACTTATGACTAGAACTTTAATTATAAATTACTGATGTATTGCAGAGGAGTTACATAGCCAGTAAATGCTCCGGCCTCTGCTACTAAAATTATGAGTATTTGTGAATACTTTTAGAACTGGTAACCTCCAAAAAAGTCATCGTTCCTTAGTGACAGGTGGGGATAACTGGCTGCACGCGGAGCTCAGCCTCAGCTGGTGCAGCAGATGAAGTCGTCTTCTCGATGAATGGATGCTCCCAACAGCTGGTATCTAAAAAAGTAAAACTAAAGAGTGTTATCTTTTTGCTGAGCCTGCACAGCCCACAGGGTGATAGTGATGGAGGGAATGGCTTCTACAGCATGGACACTGCGGGGGCCAGATGAGGACTCGCGCACCATCGGGTTGCAGGAGATGAGAGTTGGGAAGGTCCTACAGAGGTTACCCAAGGAACAAATTTGCAGAGAGGGTGATGCACACAGCTCTGTCAACTGTGTAGCCCAAGGTGAGAGGCCACCATGGTTATTCCCTGCTTTTTTGCCTGCTCTGGCTTTATTTGAAGTGCTGTGGTGAAGCAGCTGAAGTTTTGTGGGTGGTTTGGTTTTTTTTTTTTTGACTGATGGCTAATGCATTTTGAGACCTTTACCCATGTCAGCATCCAAAAGTAATAAAAAAATCTCATTTATAGGATGTGTAGGAGAGCAAATTATACTGTAGATTAGCTGACTGATGAGCCTAGAAAGAATGGTTTGAGTAGGCATGAGAGCTGCATGGTTATGAGCCAAAAATTAAGGCCGTGTAAGGTAGAAAAAAAGCCCCAAAACAAACAAATTTATTTAGGGGGCAAGGAAAGGAAGGTTAAAATGTTTCAACAGGTATGGTCTTTTTGGAGTACTTCATACACAGAGTTCTATGGGTGCGCTAGGCACTTCTCAAAATTTTCTGTACTATATGAGTGACCACAACGTGTTTCTTTTTTCTGGATGTTTCTTTCAAGTGCCAGCACTGCCGACTCGTGTTGAGTCATGAAAGTTTAGCGGAGAAGTTGTGTATTTTTATAATGTGTATGTGTGTGCACACGAGCAGGTGTGTGTTTGGGGAGGACTCTTGGAATGGCTAAATCACAGTATCTTGGGTTGGTATTTCTCCAGTATTTCTTGAACTACATCATTTGGTTCAGCCTGACAAACCACCCCGGTGATTTCTGCCACAGGGAAGTTTCTTTATGTGCAAGAAGCGGGAAAGGCTGGTGCATGACGAACAGGTGGGACTGGCTTCTTCAGGAGTGGGAAGGTCTTGGGGAGAAAGACGATGTCTCCAACATCAAGGTTCTTGCAGAGGCTGATGTATTTTTGCTGATTTGAATTATTATTTCGCTCCATTTTTCTTCCCCTCACTGGGGTTTTTTTTTGGTGATTCAGTTCATAGGCTGCCTTATTTTGCCAACACCCCATAGCACTTCGCACTTCCCTCCTTAAGGCAAATTGGGGTTTTTTTATGGCAATTTTTTTTTTTTTCATTCATGTAGGGGCCCGTTTGCCTCTTCCAATCTGCTGGTTGTTGTTTGTTATGTCTGATGTGCTTGGGACAACTGTTAACTCTTGCTGTTTTTCTTAATTTTGGGTAGAGGCACAGTCAGAATCTCAATCTTATTCTCACTCATGTCCCGTAGATCATCATAGGTGTTTATGCAGTGATTGTGCCATCAACCAGGAGAAAAATTTACTGACACAGAGATGTTATTTGAGGTCTTATTCCTACCTTCTTGATTTGGAAAATTATAGCTGGACAGCAGCATTTCACTCTTCAGTATCTTAAACTAATACAAACGATCAAAAAGTACAAACCAACCTATTTTCTTGTGCCCGTACAGGCACTGACTCCTGACTGTCAGCTTCCCATGGCTGGCAGGTAGGCACCGGTTTTAGCTGGGGTCCAGTGGCTTTCCTAACACCAACCCCGGAGAGCTTCCTGGGGGCTGGGGTTTCCCAGCATCTCTCCACCCAGAAGTCAGGCCACAGCTGTGACAAGCACCAAGGGACTGGGGCTGAGCAGCTGCCTCTGAGTGCAGACACAGCCCCTGACACTTCAGAATCACCTGGGGCAGCTCTATAAATCAATACATATATATATATTACATTTATATATGTGTGTGTGTGCACATGTATCTTTCACATACATACAAGGACCCTCTTTTTTTTTTCTTGGTATTTGCCTGGTTCAGTACTGTGTGATTGAGTCAAATGTAGAAAACAGAAACAAGGCATCCGGGAAAAAAAAAACCAAACACACTGAACATTAAAGCGTTTATTAATTAATTTATTGAACTTGCATGTGCATTTGTCTCACCAGTAAGCTGGTGTTCACAAAAAAACCTCTTTGAAATCGACAAAACTTTCCGTAAACTCGATGAATACTGCTTAAAGTATCTAATGATAAGAAAGTTGCAGAAAATTCTTCACTCGTACAGCCCAAAATGTGCTGACAATTGAAGAAAAAAAACCCCACCAACCCCAACCCCTTTTTTATTCAAAGATGGTTAAAAAAGTTTACTTTTGTGGCTTGTATTACAGTTTCGCCTGGATGTCGTTTGCCTTTACTGGTGCAGCCTGTTTTCCTGAGTTGTCAAGACTAGAAAATAGAAACACCTCAGAACCTGACGGGTTTCTGTGGGTGGGTCCCGGGCATGCGTCTGCGGCGGGGCGGCAGGAGCCAGACACATTTTCTCTAATGTCTCCTTAAAATGTGTAAACAGGGTTAAGAAGAGAAAGCAGCGGGGTGTAAGACACACAGATGTAATAATATTTATTCAGTGTTCGAGTTCATATTGATCCTCTCTTTTTTATAATTGCTTCTCTCCCTTCAAATATTTTTTTAACTTTTTAAGGGCAGTACTAAAGGAGCTTCTATACTACTGGCAATTCTTTTCTCCTGGAGGAAGATCCTTTAAGAAACAGCTCCTGCGAGGTTTGGATGTTTGGTTATAATTTAGTACAATAAATAACAATTAACTTATCCGCTATGAAATTCCCTAAGACAGAAACTGCATTAGAAACACAAAATTGGCTTTGTGTTTCTTATTGATACCGTAAAATGAGGTCAGTAAGAAAAAAAATCCAAAAACCACCTTGAAAAACATGGCTTTTGTAATATACATAATTAAAAAGAACTGATCGTTAATAAATAAAATTCATTTAGCACTGAAATAATTATGAAGCACTTCTAAAATTTTAAAGGCAAATCTATTTAGGCCTACAGTTAACATGCAAAGTCATCCAACAAATAACACAAAATTGTACCGTAGTAGTCAACTGTTGCATCAACATTCAAAAAGGTCTAGACAGCAGCAAGACTTCTTCTATATGGCAAACATCTCGTAATGCATCGTAAGGGTCTGTGGGAGCTCTGGAGGACAACCCGCCACCCCCTTCTGCTTCCAGAGTGTGACAGGAAAAACGGAGAATTTTTGTGATAACAGAACTGGCTTTGCGGTGGCGTAAAACGAAGGGATGACCCTGGAGCAAGGGTAGGCTAGGGGTGTTGGCTCCCACCACCGGAGAAACAGGGAGGGAGACCCTGACACCTGCTCCCCTTCAGCCTCCCCTGATGGCGGGATGAGCGCTCTCCTCACCCCCATGGAAAAATATGAAAAAACTTCCAACTTCCTAAATGTGGGGTGGTTTGGTTTTTGTTTGTTTTTTTTTTCCTGTTTTCAAAAGGGTTAAAAAAGTAGGAAACTTTTATCTTCTCAAATTCTTGCTAAGTTACACTTAATACTTCAACTAACACAACAGTTACATGACAAAGTACTGCAAATTATCAAAATGTACTGTACAGAAAATTACAAATTCATTGCAAAATACATTGCGCTGCTATGACCAAGATTAAAAAGTGCTTTTTTTTTTTTTTTTTTTTTTTTTTTTTTGTCAGAAAAGTGTTCTTCTGAAACAGAAGTGCCATAGCCTGCAATAAAATTCTGGTGTTTTGCTCAGGTTGTGCTATCCTCTACTAATTATCTTTCCAACCTTGTTTGCACTGGGCGCCTTCTGACTGGGTGGCCAAGAAGACGACAGCGCTGGGGAGCAACGGTCCACGGCAGAGTGTGGTCACCCGGCTGGTGGCCAGGATGGCTCGTTGGTCCCTCGCAGCCCCAGAGAGTACCTCCATGGGTTTTTATATACCGTGTTACTGCTGCGGGCACGGTTTTCCTCTGCAAGGTTTTGCTTGTCCGTGCCCGTGGTTCCAAACACAACCACCGGGATTCCTGCACCGCTGTTGTTATCCAGACTCTGCACCACCCTCCTCCTGAAGAGCCGTTGGCTTCAGCGATGCCTGTGCTGCCTCATGAGGGGCACGATGCAAGAAGGGGGCCCGGCCAGTTTGAGAAAAGGGTGTCTCAACAGTTCCTGTGCTGTGGCTCTCTGCGAGGGCTCCCGCACCAGCATCGAGTCCAAGAAGCCTCGGAGGACCGAGGAGACCTGCAATGTTGCAGGGGCGTTAGGGGCAGACAAAGACAACCGTTCCCAGCCTATGCTGGGTCTGCACACACAGCTTTTCTTGGGAAAAGGAGGGACACGCTGAGCTTCCCTATGGCAACAGAGGTACTGAGCTGAAGGACTGTGTGTCTTCTATGTGCCGTTAATGTTAAAATGAATGTTGAAAGTATTTGGGTATCAGTGGGGTGCAGAACAGAATCATCCAGGTTGGAAAAGACCTGGAAGATCATCCAGTCCAACCGTTAACCTCACACTGACCATTCCCATCTCACCAGATCCCTCAGTGCTGGGTCAACCCGACTCTTCAACCCCTCCAGGGATGGGGACTCCCCCCCTGCCCTGGGCAGCTCATTCCATCACCCAACAACCCCTTCTGCAAAGAAATGATTCCTAAGAGCCAGTCTAACACTGCCCTGGTGCAGCTTAAGGCCATTCCTTCTTGTCCTATCACTTGTTACTTGGTTCAAGAGACTCACCCCCAGTTCTCTACACCCTCCTTTCAGGTAGTTGTAGTGGGTGATAAGGTCTCCCCTCAGCCTCCTCTTCTCCAGACTAAACCCCCCCAGTTCCCTCAGTCGCTCCCCAGCAGACCTGTGCTCCAGACCCTGCACCAGCTCCGTTGCCCTTCTCTGGACACGCTCGAGTCATTCAATGGCCTTTTTGGAGTGAGGGGCCCAAAACTGAACACAGTCATCGAGATGCGGCCTCACCAGTGCTGAGTACAGGGGTAAGATCCCTTCCCTGTCCCTGCTGGCCACGCTATTGCTGATGCAAGCCAGGATGCCACTGGCCTTCTTGGCCACCTGGGTATGCTGCTGGCTCCTGTTCAGCCAGCTGTCAATCAACCCCCCCAGGTCCCTCTCTGACTGTCAGCACACACTGCACAGCTTTGTACAGAGTGGCTGAGAAAAGCTTTAACAGTGGCTGCGGGCTCAGGTCTGGCACACCCTCTAGAAGCACACCCAAAATGGGAGGTACCCCAAGGCTTTGGCACTGGGCATGGATATACAAACTCTGATCTGCTCTGGTCCCCGGGCCGGGTGGGAAGCACAGGGAACATGAGGCTCTGCCCAGCTCTGTCACTCCCTGCAAAAGCAAAGCCAGGGCCCAGCACAAAAAAAAGGTTGCGGTTTGCTGAGGCCTTTGGCCTCACAGTCTCCCCACATGAGTCCTGTGTAGGACCCACTGCTCAAGGTGGTGCCTTAAAGATACAACTGATAATCCTTTAGGCGTGGCAGCGTGTGGCTATGGTTTTATTAAATGATTGTACATGCAAGACCCTCAGCACCAACGGGAATTCTGACCTTGTGCATGTCCTTCACCCGGGGGGGTAGGTTATCCCGGATTCGGCGCATGGCTTGCAGCGGTGGCTCATTGAAGTAGGGAGGTTCCCCATCGATCATCTCGATCACCATGATGCCCAGGGACCAGATATCCACCTGTAACACACAGAGTCTGCTCCTGAGCACCACTGGGAAGGCACAGAGGGGCCCGAAAGGCTCAACACTCAGGTTTCACACAAACCTCTGCACTGCGGCCGCTCTGAGCCAGCAGCCTGGTGCACCAGCACCACAAATCTTTCTTTTCTAACCAGCCAATGACAGGTTTTTTCCTTCTGAGCAGGAAGCACATCGAGGAAATAAATTAGGAACGACTTAAAATCCGGGTCTGCAGACGGTTTAGGTGAAGTCCAGTGGCAGCACTGCTGAAGCATGCTGGGCTGAGACGCTTGGCCTGCATTTCAGCTGCACTGCTTTGCACCCTCTGGAATATTTACCTCAGGCTGGCTCTGCAGTGCTGCAGAAAGATGCAGCTAGTCGGAGAGCAGAGCACAGTCCAGCCGTTATGAAATCAGTTACTCTATTTCCCCTGGATCTTAAAGACTAAGCTCCGTGTGAGACCCCAAGGCAAAGGCAAGAACGCACTACACCGGGGCCCAGCTCCAGCAAGCACAGGTAACGTTATATAATCCCTTTAGAAAGCAATTCAGCTGCAGTGTAAAAAAAAAACCAAAACCAACCTTTTTTTTTTTCTTTTTTAAAAAATGTTCCTGGCCTGCTGCAGAGCTGCTCCAGAATCCCAGTCCTCTGATGACTGTAATTCCTGTCATTTGCTAACCCAAACACAGCCAAGGCCACTTCATACTGCTTTTGCTCTCTTGCCAACTCTATCCTTCAGCTCAAATCCTCTTTTTTTTTTAATCTTTTCCTTCAGGTGGGGAAACCTAATGTAGCCGTAAATTCTAATCCCTTCAGTGTTACTAATGGGCTAATAATAGCTGGTGTTATTACTCCTGAAATATCTTCTACAACACCACACCTCCTGCTGGATGTTGGTGCCCACAGGGTGCTCTTGCCCCAGGGCAGGTGCTCTCCCTGCCCACACCAGATGGGTTCCGGCTGTGCCACAGGAAGGTGCAGCAGCTCCTGCCTCAGCCCTCAGCTCATTTCCCCCCTCTGTGTGTGTATGTATCTATAGATATGTGTGGCTCTGTGTGTAAATACATCCGTATCGATACAGATCTCCCCTTTGCGGCAGGTTGGCTCTCTGCAGCAGTTACTACAGGCAGGACTGAGCTTCCCAACAAACGGGATATGGCGCTGCAGAGCTGCCGGGTCCCCACCTTTTTTGGTCTCATCTGAACGGCTCCAATAAAATTGTGTGAATTGCCTTTTTCAGACCATTTGGCAGTGCTTAAAATAGTTCCCAGAGAGATGCTTTTTTCCCTGCCCTGTCTCTCAACTAATGAGAGCGATGACTTGCAAGGAGCGAGCCATTGTGGAATGCTACAGCAAAGGGTGGGAATCCAACTCAGCCAGCTCCCGACTTTGGGACTCTACAGGACTGTGCCTGTGCCTTTGCCAGTGCTCCTCCTGAGGATGGGGATCTCAGGCTTTAGCTGGATGAAAGCAGAGTGGATCTCTGCCTGCAGGGATGTTCAAACTCTGATGTGACCTGTCTCTGCAGTATGAGCACACTGTCTGGCTGCTGGTTTGGCATATGCAGGTGTAGACACCTGTAACGGAAGCTCCAGCTTGCACAGAATCACACAATCATCTCAGCTGGAAAAGACCTGGAAGATCATCCAGTCCAGCCATTAACCTCACACTGACAGATCCCAACTCCATCAGATCCCTCAGTGATGGATCAACCCGACTCTTCAACCCCTCCAGGGATGGGGACTCCACCACTGCCCTGGGCAGCCCATTCCAACACCCAACAACCCCTTCTGCAAAGAAATGATTCCTAAGAGCCAGTCTAACCCTGCCCTGGTGCAGCTTGAGGCCATTCCCTCTTGTCCTATTGCTTGTTACTTGGTTCAAGAGACTCACTCCCAGCATTCTGCACCCTCCTTTCAGGTAGCTGTAGAGGGCGATGAGGTCTCCCCTCAGCCTCCTCTTCTCCAGACTAAACCCCCCCAGTTCCCTCAGTCGCTCCCCAGCAGACCTGTGCTCCAGACCCTGCACCAGCTCCGTTGCCCTTCTCTGGACACGCTCGAGTCATTCAATGGCTTTTTTGGAGTGAGGGGCCCAAAACTGAACCCAGTCATCGAGGTGCAGCCTCACCAGTGCTGAGTACAGGGGTCAGATCACTCTCCTGTCCCTGCTGGCCACGCTGTTGCTGACACAAGCCAGGATGCCATTGGCCTTCTTGGCCACCTTGGCATGCTGCTGGCTCCTGTTCAGCCAGCTGTCAATCACATCCCCAGGTCCCTCTCTGACTGGCAGCTCTCCAGCCACTCCTCCCCAAGCCTGTAGCGCTGCTGGGGGTTGTTGTGGCCCAAGGGCAGCCCCCGGCATTTGGCCTTATTGAAACTCCTCCAGCTGGCCTCAGCCCGTCGCTCCAGCCTGTCCAGGTCTCTCTGCAGAGCCTCCCTACTCTCGAGCAGATCAACACTCCCACCCAACTTGGTGTCTTCTGCAAACTTACAGAGGGTGCACTTGATCCCCTCGTCTAGATCATCAATACAGATGTTAAACAGGAGTGGCCCCAACACCGAGCCCTGGGGTACACCGGTTGTGCTCGGCTGCCAACCAGATTTAATTCCGTTCACCACAGCAATTTGGGCCCAACCATCCAGCCAGTTCTTTACCCAGCAAAGCGTGTGCCCACCCAAGCCATAAGCAGCCAGTTTCGCCAGGAGAATGCTGTGAGAAACAGCAGGTTTGATCTGGAAGATCATCAAAAGGTCTTTCATGATGTGAAAACGATGCCACTTTCTTTCCATGCAGCACCCTAAGCTAAAACATTGTTTAGTGCACTAAATGGAGTTATTTAACAGCTTCGTCTTGGAGAAATACTTTAAAATGAGGCATGATGTAGCACTCTGGGGCAACCATAACTGCTGCTATTTAGCATCTCTGCATTCGAACTGCACGGTTGTGACAGGGCTCAAGGTTCAGGTTAACCAAGGCACCATGCAGCGGGCAATCAGCCACGTGGGCCCGCGCAGAGCCCTGCTGTACCCACCTCGGTGCCGTAGGGCAGGCGGGATATCACCTCCGGCGCCATCCAATACGGCGTCCCAACGAGAGACTTCCTCCGGGGAACCTCCTTTGACACCTGGGCGCAGAACCCAAAGTCGGACAATTTTATCTGAAAAAGAAAAAGAAAAAAGCCCCTCTCGAAGGCAAGTTCCTCTGAGACGCACACCTCTGGCTGCAGCTGGGGGGGGACAGGGAATGCAGTGATTGCTTGGGACAGGACAGCAGCTTAGCTTTGGAAGCGTGGCTGGAGTCGGCAACTTGGCCCAGGGAACGCACGGCTCATTAAAATGAAGTCAAGAGAAAGAAGTGGGAGAAAGTGGCTGTGGTGCTCGTTACTAAGACTGCCTGTCACAGCTCACTGCCTCTCCACCAGCAAAAGATGTGGAGGTGATAAATGCCTTGTGATATTTAAAAAACAGAAGGAAAGCAAAAAATCCTGAACTAACGGCAGTTTATAATTAATCTATTATTGCATATATATGTAGTAGCCTACATATGTACACTGATATTCCATAATATACATATTTCAAGTGACACACACCACTCCTATTATTTGTATATCAGGTGTATGATCTGTGAAAACAGATGAAACAAGTGGCAGTCACCCCGTTTTTCACCACAAAGAGCATGATCTAACACTCTCAGCAAGCAATACCCCTGCCAATGATTTTTCAAGACACTGTGGGCTATCACTAAAGAAACTATCTTCTTTATGTCGTGGAGGACCTAATATGGGGAAGGGTACAAGACTCTTCCAAAGTGGTTGTAAGAGATAAGGGAATGTACACTCTTGGCTTGGGAACTCGGGAATTAAAGACAGTACTGTCCTTGAGTTGCTGTGGCAGTGACCTGAAATAGAACTAATGGGATACACAAGCACTCCTGAGAGCAGCTCCTGCTGCATCATGTGCTTGCTCATACTTTTATGCCTTTTTTTTTTTTTTTTAACAACCAAAATGATGGGAAATTATTGCTTCTCCCTCCCTGTTGCTGTAAAACACCAAAACTCCTCCAACCCACAACCAAAACTGGTTTGAGCCTCAGTGGCATCACCCCCTTCCAGAAACAGCTTGTTCCTTAAGGCTAAAGGAACAATTTTTTCCCCCAAGTATTTATTTGCAGGCCTAGAAGGTATCATAAGGGTTTTCCTGGAGATCAGCCTAAGCCCCATGCCCCCAGCTGTCCAAGGTCCATAAGCTGTGTATCAGATGATGTACTCGGTGCCTGGGGATACAAAGTGAGCCCCAACAGCCCCAGGACAACTGAAGTGAGAAGTTGCATAAATCCCTGCATTGGGTAGACCAGCATTTTATTATCAGCACTGATTTGTTTTCTTTTGGATTTGGTACAGACATTACTTTTTTTTAACACTAAGGGTATTATTTTTAACAGAATTATGAAATGATTGTTGGTATTTCTAAAACAAAGCCAATAATAGCCAAGTTCCCCATGCTAAATGTATTTCTCAGTTTACAGGATGAAGAATGGAAGAAATAATGCATATTTTGGAAGCAGAGCCCAATCTTCTTTTGTAGGAATACAAGAGGTTTTGCATATCTATTGCTCATTCGAGTACATAAAAGAAGACGATTTTCTAAAAAAAGATAATTGCACAACGCAGCCATGAAGAAATCTGCAATGCAGATAATAAGTACTGGAGTAATGAGTATAATGAGGCACTGTATGCAGATCCTGAGAGCAGATCAGATGCTATTTCAGCAACACAGATTGAAATTGTAACTGAAGAACTCCTACACACGTGGAATTTTCATCCCTGACAGGACTAACAGGAGCAGCCTGTGACTGCTGCAGGTAGAAAATCCCTCTTCCTTGGTGAAGTGGGAATCAAATTATAAAGGTGAGCCTTTGATTAGGGAATCAGACCAGACCTGGGAAGCCAAGAGTTTTACCTGCTGAAGGAGATCTAGGTTTGGTTCCAGACTGACCGAGTGCTCTTGGGCTTAGGCCAACGTGCTAAGCCTTCCTTTAGACCAGTGGAACAACCCTTAAAGCCCTGCTTATGGGGCTCACTGGCTGTGAGTGCGTTAAGTTTCTACTCAAATTATCCTGACAGGGCAGCGAGGTGAGATCCAAAGTAGTGCCTAACACAAGCAGAAATTAGGTTGTTCTATCCAAGAGTGATTTACCTCTCTTCCCCTAAGCCTTTGAGCACACCAACTTTTAGATGCCTCAAGTTTTACGGCTGTGTAGGCCCAGAAATACCACTGTCCAAACCCACCTTTCTCCTTGTAAGGTAATAATACAATAATACAGCTGAAGTAGTATTTTTTGCATGCAAACTTTTATTTTGCTTACTGAGCAGGTCACGTGCAGCATTTTGTCTCCCTCTCTCCCCACTCATTAAGAAGACAAAGAAAGACCAGTTCCCCGAGAGCAGCATCCCATCCAAGTAAATGGAAGTGTGGCGCAGCTATGATCAAACATCGTGTGCATGTACCTATGTAAAAGCTGCTCTCACCATCGGAGGAGTGTTTCAGGAGTAATGCAGAGTATTTCCTATTCATACAGATTGATGTTAGCCTCCCAACTAGCTTGGGAAAACACAGCAAATGTATAGAAGCTTGCTAACTAGAGGACAACTAAATGTAGTAAAAAGAAAGTATTTTTGAGAGGCATCAGAGTAGAGTGGTGCAGCATAAAGGAAGGTTTCCCATCCGCTAAGCATCACCCATGTAGCATGGTTTCTTCTTTTGACAGGGCTGATTCCCGCCCTGCAGACTGCACGCAGCACAGATGTCAACCACTGCCCAGGCCAGGCCTGTGTTTTTCTGATTCAGTTTTTTTTTTTTTTTTTTTTTTTTTTTTTTTTAAGTTAGCCTCCCTCTGAACGTGCACAGCTATTTTCCTGACAGCCTCAAGAGACGTCGGGAGAAACGTTGGGCACTCACCCTCCCATCGCTCGTGAGAAGGATGGAGTCGCTTTTGATGTCGCGGTGGATGACGCCTTGGTTGTGCAGGTAGGACAGGGCTCTCAGGACTGACAGGCAGACGGTCGCTATCTGCTCCTCATTCATCCTGAAACAGCAAGGTGGAAAAAACAAGCTGAACATTTACAAAGACAGCAGGAAAGGGGAGCTGGAGCGAAGAGGCACAAGTTGCCCTTCATATACAGATAGCCAGGAGATCTTTTAGGCAATGGCTCTGTGGGGCAACTCTCTGGTCCTATTTCTGTTCAAAAAAAGGGAGATGAGGGGTGAGGAACAACTCTGCAAATGAGGTCTGAATAAGTCTCCCTGAAGCACTAAAAAAGCAGAGTTTACTATGTGATGTAGCTTGTTTCCCTCTGGGAAATAACGGAAATGCCTTATTTACAGTAAATTCACTGCTTGCCAAGGAGGGTAAATCACTACTGTGATGGAAACAGGCATGGAACACATATGAGAAAAACCACTCTTGATTGTGCAGACAAACCACTGGGCCCTGGGTGTAGCTCTACTGAGAGCACTTCTCTGCTTTGATACCTTCTATAAAAACATTCAGCGTATTTCAGTGGAAAAATAAACAGCAAGAGTCCTCATTTCTGTGCACAGGTGCAAAATCCCATCCTGGAAGAAGCCATCTGCCACAGCACAACAGCGACAGCCAGGAGGGATCGTACGTCCCGGTACCACTGCCCCATTGTTGCATATCCCCAGCATCTCTACTTCGTGAGCAGAAAAATACCCGTGGAGGTTTCTGCTTTAACTCTGTGTGCCATTTGCAGTATTTTAGCAAAATCTTTGAGGGAAGGTCATGCAATGAAAAAAAAAAAAAGCAAAACCCCCCGAAAACCGCAAGTTTAAGGAAAGTCTATTTTGAGTAAAAAAAGATGACAGCTCTTAAGAAGTGGTGTCCTGGGAACATCTGTTTGCCATTAAATTCCTGTCAGAAATATCTAAGATAGAGCTTTTAATGTTTTGGGGAGCAGCAGTTAACAAATGACTTGCAGCACTGTCGTTTATTTCAGCACATCAGCTAAGGCAACACAAAAAATAAAATACCTGTGTTACAACTCTGGTTTTGGTAGAATCTAAGAGCGTCACTAAACTATGAAAAAAGACAAATGTTCTAATTTACTACTCCTTGCTTTTCTTCATGCTCACCTAAATACTCTCCCATTGGTTTGGTTTGGAAATTTTTGGTTTTTTATTCAAGGGGAAGTAAATTAGATAAAGAATTAATCTTCCTATCTCATTTTATCCTGCTTATCAGGAAAAGATGAGTGAAGAGCAGATGTAAAGAGGTCTGTAAAATCTAATGTCTCCACTCAGAAGAGGAAGAGCAGTTCCGTAACTACAGCTTTTGTGCTGGCGAATCTCCTTCTTTAAAGGAACGATATTAACTGAAATATGGGAACAAGCTCCGCCGTAAGCACAAATATTCTGATATAAAAATACTTTCCCCGTTATGTTTTAGGCTTGGTTTGCAGTTATTTCTGAAAGCATGGCTATGTGGGTTCCGAGTATGGAGAGAAATCACCCTTAGAACTGACGTAGTTATGACAGCAAAAACAATACAGATCACCAAACAGAGAACAGAAGGTATTTTTTTGCCATTTTAGGAAGTAATGGATAAAAGTCATGTTGCTCCTAAATTACATCCTAAAGCACTAGCAAATCCTCATCTACCAGCAAGCCCTTTCAGATATTTTTTTCCCTTCTGTTTAAAAAATGCTGGTACTGACAGGAATTCTTCTGCAGTGGCTTATTTACGCTGGTGAAGTGAGCATGCTACAGTGTAAGTGTGTGTGTGTGTACTTATGTATATACACACACATGCAGATATAGCTACACACATGCACAGATACATATTTATGTATATATTCTTCCCACTTATATTGTTTTTATGTTTGTATATATGATTATACAGCAATAAATACACATATAAAAGTAGATGTATAGAGCCCGGAGGTACCCAGCTTTCCTCGGGAGGAGGTGAGGTGCCAAGGGCACGGAGTGGAGGCATCCACGAAGGAAAACCAGGGCACCTCCCTCCCTCCCCCCTGGCTTATACCGCGGGTTTTATGCTGCCCACCCAACCCACCTCGTGTGAGTCACTATATCTGTCAAAGCGCCGCCCTCCAGAAACTCCATCACAACCCACAGCTCATCACCAACAAGGTAACTGTTGTACATGTCAACCACATTTTCGTGATGGTAATCTCTCATGATTACAACCTGTGAGGAAGAAAAAGATCGTATGTGAATTGCTACCAAGCATTATCTGACACTTGTTTTGACCTTCTTTTTCACTTTTCTCTTTGGGCGTAGTAAAGGTTCTGCTATGAATCACATCCTTATGCCAACATATAAACAAAATCAATATATTTACATAAAAATAACAGTCATTGTAAATGCATTAGGAAGAAGGAAGAATCTTTAGTTGCTAAATTACAAGTGGTAGATAATTGGGTTTTTTTCAGACTGCAGGAACACTACTGTTTATTTCATTGCTTTTTTATTGCCAGTTGCTTTCAGTACAAGAGAGATGGGGTTTTTTGACCCCATCAGTCACTCAACCCATCAAAATCTTCTTCATCATGTATCAAATGGTACTTTTCACAGAATTTTAAGAGAATGCTGGTAATATAGGGGATATTCGTAAGACAACTTAAATCCCACATCTAAAAGGGACTGTACAGAACTGGGACTGCAGTAAGAGCAGCCCAGCCAAGGCTTCATTATCGACAGAGGAATTTCAGTACCGCTAAAAAGAAATTTTCAGAAGACACGAGTGACTGGAGCGTGTCACGGAAGCAGCTTGGTCCAGCACAGCATGTAGGACCTGCTTCAAGATGTTACCACTCAAGAGATGCTCAGTTAGAGCTTCACAACACAATTCAGTGTAGTCTTCCAGCAGAGGCAAAGCAAAGCCAGGCTACACAGTACAATCATGGACTGTGCAAAGGCAAACTCTAAGAAACTTGTTTGAAATTGTTAGAAACTAATATTTTAATTAAATGTTAGAAATTAATATTTTGATTTAAAAATGTTAAGGTTTTAAAGAAACCAGTCTGTCATGTGCTGAGGGTAGATCCCTTTATACCTAAAACACAGGAAACAAATGACAGAATCAGGTTAGTTCTCACAAGAGGTTTTTGGGGACCTGCAGTGTTTTTTGGCATTGCTCAGCTTATTCACAAGTGATCTTGAAAAGGGAGCAGAGGACACACACCACTAGGTTAAGGGAGTAAGAAGTAAAATTGGAGAAGCTCTTGTGGAAGCAACTCTCAGCACCAAAAAACTGGGTGAAAAAACGGCAAATGAAAGCCAGTGTTCTTAAATTTCAAATAACGTACACGGGGTAAACAATCTTCCCCAAGCAACTGTGAGCTCTGAACTGGCTGCAACCGCTCAGGAAAGGAGATGTGGGAATTAACACAGATGGTTCCATGAAAAAGGGACTGTCAGTGCTTTGCTTAGTAAGCATCAAGAAAGCAAAGGGACTGCCAATGGTTGGGAGAGGAAGGAGGAAGGGAAAAAAAAAAAGCATGTATATGCCAGAAGACGGTGCACATGCTTCTTGAATAGTCTGGTTAGTTTGGATCCTCCATCTCAGAAGAATAAACTACAGCAGCAAACAGGGAGAAAAAGGCACCTGATACGCTGCACGGAGCAGCTAATAGAGATTTCTTAGATGTTTACTGTGACTTCCCACAGCATTATAGGCTTAAAGCCAGGAGAAGATGTAGCTTATTTGAAACTGGTCTGGTTATATAATATTTATACAGCATAGATGCATGTGGGACTCACCACCTCTTTAAGGTATTAATTTGGTTCTCGAGGTTGCTATTTGGCCCATGTCTCCTCCTGTTGAACCTACCACCTGAGAAACCCCTCGCACCACCCAGAACAACATACCTCATTAAAAAGCAGCTCCCTTCTCTGCTGTTTCCTGAGATCCATCTTCTTCACGGCAACTTGCTTTCCTGTGTGCTTCTCGGTGGCGATGCAGACGATCCCCGTGGAGCCCTCCCCGATCTTGATAAAGTTGTCCAAGTACTCCCGAGGGTCGCCGGGGCTGACCACAAGCTGCAGGGCAGCTCTGAACTGTTCGTGGGACACCCTGGAGGGCTGCTGGTCTGAGGAGGATCCCCAGCTGGGTGGAGGATAAGCACTTGACGTGATACTTGGCGAGCTGGGGTAGGAGGCAGTGGAAATATAGGGAGAGCTGGGCTGGAGAGACGGCTGGTGATAGTGGGATGCTTTGTGGTAGACCAGAGGGTACTGGTAGCTGCTGCTTGAATAGCTGACTTTGCTCTGACTTTGAGGTAGCTTTACTGGGCCCCTGGGGTAGGTGTCCGATCCGGAGAGCGGTGGGCTAACGACCAGCTGCGCTCGATCATAATCCACCTGCAACACAAAAGCAGATGAGTGAAGGCGGGTGAATGGAGCTTTCTTGCTGTCCATCCGCTCGGGTTGTTTCTGGCACCTCCGGAGATCCTCGGCAGGTGCCAGCACAACCGTGCTCCCGAGTGTACCCATACTTCTCAACATGACACTGCTGCACTGTATCTGAAAAGGTGGGGGTTTTTTTTAGTGCTCTGATCAGCACTAAAATGAAGCCAGGGAACATCATGAGATCTTTTGTGCATCTCAGGATCATTCTTCTGTCTGGGTACCTGTTTGTAGGTACAATAATCTTTGTTTAATGAAAGCGTATGCTCCAAAAAGTATATTTGCTCTGTATTTGCAGGCTCTCTGGGCCATTTCCTCCAAGACCTCATCCCTTTCACAAACAGCAGCCCTTTGGCAAATTCCAATTTGTGTCTTTCCTTTTGAAGACCAGTAAGTTTTTGACTCTCAGCCCTTAGTCTTTTCTTATGCTCTCCTCCAGCAATTCAGGGATGACCCAACCTATTCATGCAGAAGCAGCAGTACCCTGAAATCCCTGTCATCTCCTGCCTTGCCCCACTACTGGCTGCTATTCGAGTGACTGCATACATGAGTATGATGAGGAGCCTAATTCAATTTACCATTTCTTAAATCGTTTTCCAGAGTGACACACAACTGCAGTGTCATGAAACTGCTAATTTTCACCTGAAATCAGAGACAATCACAGAAGAAATTATCCCGATGGGAGGCCCTGTTCATTTGCAGGTTCCTTTCTTATTTTCCAAGCTTTTCTAAGCTTCTTACAATGAAAGCAAATGCATACTTCACATTCAAAAACATAATAGTTTGCTTTTATCCTAACTAGAAAAACAAAGGATGTAAGACAACACTCACACACACACACACACACACACACACACACAAACCCAGCACAAAAATACAGGGTTTTTTTCCCCCAGCAAAGAGCATCTCCACAGTTACGATACAACGTATGTGAGTCCTGGCGACGTGTGGTGTCTCTTGGGGCAGGGGGGGTGGTTCGACACAGGCTCATGATGTAGCACAATTACAAATAATTATGGCAATGAGTTCATGTAATCAATCAATTTTGGTGGTGGTGCACAGGGGTGGACAGAGCAGCAAACTCTACACAGCTCATGGTTGCTACTATTACTGCTGGCTGCCGGCCAGGAGTCCCTGATCCATGTTAGTTAAATGCACATTAATCTGAATCTGGCAGTGTAATCAAGGACCCAACTGAACTGTGAAATTGAATTCTGCGGTGGAACATCATTTGACCGTTTTATGCTAAGACTGCAAAAAAAAAAAAAAAAAAAAAAGAAAGAAAGAAAAAAAAATCTGCCGCAGCATCAATTTATCTCTGTAGGCTGCTGCACAGTGAGGAGGAGTTTCTAGCTGGAGTCGCCTCGGTGCAGGGAGAAAAGCCTCCGAGCACAATATTATATCAGCACTTTCCTACCTCATGCACGAGCCTGTCTTTTTACTTCGCGTGAGGTTTAGCAGGGAAGAGGGAATGCCTCTCTAGAGGGGCTGCTCAGAGATTTCCCTTGGAAACATGAAGCTGGAGTCTGTTCCCGCCTGAGACTCGCACGCTGACAGCTCCCAGCCATGTGGAGCATCCAGCCAGCACGTAACAGGGTTGTACAGCCGCCTCCTAGGATGCCGGGTTTGTTAAAGCAAAACATCCACATGATTACAGCTGTAATTTCACTTACTCCATCAGGCAGGGGTAGCCATAAAATAGAAGGGGGTCAGAGACACCATGGATTTCATGAAGGACATTACATCTGCCAAACTAATTAACACGGGGAAGTGCTCAGATGGTTTGGTGGAGGGAGGGGAATTCAATCTAGCCCTGTCCTATATATCTGTGTATGTAGGGACACATAAATTACTGCTCTGGCTGTAAATATACCATTTTCTTTTAACTGTTAAGATGAGGAAAGCCTTGTTTAGAAATTCAATCTGGATAAATCCATACTAATGAATTATTTGAGGCTTCACCCATGCCTGATATTTCTGAGCACATCTTCAGCTTAACACATTGGCAAAAGTAAATTCCACAGTGAAATTTTAAAATGAAAATTCAGTGGGCTCGCTCAGAATTTTTGAAAGCTTTTTGCAGTACGATGTAAACCCATTCATGTCCCAAATCCCATGAAATCTTACAGAAAAATCAGGAGCTGTAATGAGTAAATCAGCTGAAGCTCTCCTCCGAGGCTGTGTCCTGACACAGTGCTTCACATTATGGCAAAATCGAACACACTTTATTCCGCTAATAATACCATTTCTGCTACCGAATGCTGTTACCTACTGAAAAGAAATTCTTTAGGTACTACAAAGGAAGGAAGAAGCCAGTCCCACGCTCATTTGAGATCAGGTCAAAGGAGCAGCCGAAGCTCTGACACGACATCCATCACATCGCCGTGGTGCATGGTGATACTGCTGCTGCCGGCTGGGTCGCTTCAGTGGCCTTCACACACTGCCACGTCTTTTCGTTGTTAAAAGGACGTACCCACTGTGTTTAAACTCATTTCAGTTTCCACTCAGAGGACAGCGATGCCCGTTTTGTCCTGCATGAGGAGGAAACACCTGCTTACTCCTAAGGGGTTCCTTCCCTGCACCCTCTTTCAGCTGAGGGGGTGTCCCCACGCGCTCTGCGGCGGGGCTGCGGCAGAGATGGCAGCCGCAGCCCTGCAGCCAGAGCCCACACCCTCCTCTCGGGGAGCTACAAGCCCCTGGCGAGATGGGCTCACCCTTCAGTGAACGGGAAATGGATTTCTGTTTGATTAGGTTTCAGTTTGCTGAAATAAAAGGTGTGGAAGGGATGGTCAGTAAATCACATGGAGGTTGTAAGGGGAAAGGTCACTCTCCAGTGGTTCACTGGTAGAAATCTCCGAGACTCCCTGTTCCGTGCACAGAGGCAGCACTCGCAGAAAGCTACTGGCATGTGGATGAGAAAACAGGGGAAAAAAGATAGGGTTCCTGATAGTAAAGGCTTGGCTCTGCCTTCAGCAGGCTGGAAATGTCCTCCTGGTGCAGAGTACCCGCAAAACACAAAGCAGAAAAACGGCGGTACTGAGCAGCAGCCAGATTAGAGAGACCTCTGCTACGTTACAGCAGTAAGAGGTAGTGAAGGGGAGAGAAGAAATCATGGCCCCTTGGAAGAGGGACAGGAGATGGTCATGGAGAGCTGCTACTGTAAAATGTCTGGGAAAGGAGCTTTGAAATAATAAGATCCAGTGCAAAAAGTTAAGAGGGCTGCCTGCGATGAAGAGGAGGGTGAAAAGATAACATGCAGTACAGAATGTTCAAAAACAAGCAGACCTGGCAGGATGAGTTTGATATTGTGGGCCAGACCTCATTGCCCTCTACAGCTACCTGAAAGGAGGGTGCAGAGAGCTGGGGATGAGTCTCATGAACCAAGGAACAAGCGATAGGACAAGAAGGAATGGCCTCAAGCTGTGCCAGGGCAGGGTTAGACTGGCTCTTAGGAATCATTTCTTCCCAGAAGGGGTTGTGGGTGTTGGAATGGGCTGCCCAGGGCAGGGGTGGAGTCCCCATCCCTGAAGGGGTTTAAGAGTTGGACTGACGTAGGGCTGAGGGATCTGGTGGAGTGGGGAACTGTCAGTGCTGGGTTAACGGTTGGACTGGATGATCTTCTAGGTCTTTTCCAACCGAGATGATTCTGTAATACCAAGGAGACTCCACTGAACAAAGCACGACGTAATCTCTGTGCTGTGAGGGTAACAGAACAGTTGCTGTGAACCCATGCAAGTGTTTCTGGAGTTAGTCTGCAGGAATAGGAGAGAAGGTGGGTAACATGAGGGTGGATTAGAGTGGACCAAATTTGAGCCTCTGGCTTCCTACACCTCCATGGTCCCACTGCATGGTGGTGGCCAAGCCCAGAGCACTGAAAGTCTTCTGATGTAGCACCTCTGAAATCACTGATGATGAAACAGGGTAGACATTTGATTTATCTGACCTCTGTCACCTGCAAATAATACTGGATAGTGCTCTTCACATTTACAAGCCAAAATGAACATCTATGGCATTTTGAAGCCATACATTTGTGCCTACAGACTTTTTCACTGCTTACTTTTTAATTATTCTTTACAGCCAATCTAATTTGTAAAGTATCTGATTTGAGACCTGATTTTCATTTAGTAAACCCATTTGATGAACCATTATCTTACTAACGCCTTCCTGAAAAGAAGACTCCTCAGCAATCATCCAAGACAAGAAACTGCTATTCACTTTTCTAGGAGCTGTGGACAAGTTTGGGAATTGAAACTACTGCATTTAACAGTGAATCATCAAGTTTCAATACACCAAGGCTGTTAAGAGTGTTTTTGATGCTCTGAGGAGAGGAACAGCTCACAATGAATCTTGCATGGAGGCTTTTTTTTTTTTTTTTCATAAAAGTTGTTACTGCATTTTAATGGGATATTTTTCAAAGTGTCTGGAGTGCTCTCAGTCCTGTAAAATATACCTCTGTCTTCTGCCCTATTGAATGCTGTAAAACTGGCAGCATCAGGTGCAAGACAGTCTATGAATTACTGGATTTGTCCTTCTCTTTTCTAAACTCTGACAAAATGATTGCTTTCAATGAAGGCAATGGCAGATAGCTCATCTCAGGCTTTCCTCACAGCTTCCAGAATCCATATTTAATGCCACACTCCAGTGCAGTTAACTACCCACACACATCCCTCCCACCACATCCCAAGCTCAGGAAAGGCATGCAAAGAGACCTGGTAACTTTTCTACTCCCTCCCCTGATTTATACTCAACCCCCGAAGCCCAGCTCTGCGCTTTAATGCAATGCAGAATAAAAACACATGGCCCTCCCTTTACTGATTAGAACTCTGCACCCCAGGATCAGCAAAGCAGCCAAAACCTGAGCAGGCAAGACACAAGAATGCCTCCACCATAGGGCTATCATGGACTTGCAGAGACCTGAGACTTCTTCTGGTTCTGCAGTTGGACAGAACCATGTTCTCAGTGCACAGAGCCAGTAAGAAAATGCACCATTCAGACCATCATTAAATAGCAGAGTTGATCTCAGCACCTAACAAGCTACCTACCTCAGCACGGTTGGTAAGTCACAGCAACCCAAGACTGTTTCAGTCCTGGGAAAATGAGCCATCATCTTGGCACCCGTTGCTAGGGGAACTTCGTAATATTCAATGCAATCTACACTGAAGAAAAAACTTCTCTTGCAGAATATTAGATGTTTAAGCAGGTCATCATCATAGATGTGTAAGAAAAGTGTTATTCTCTTAACTGAATAAACAGTTACAGCAAACTACTGCAAGTAGGGTAGGACAGCTCGTATGGGTAATATTCCTCATGTGACTTGCAAAAGGCAGAGCAGGCCACAAAAATCTGTGCAGAGGAGCTGCTTGCAGATATTATGGTTGAAATGCTTTCTTGCACCTTAACCTTTTTTTTTTAACATCTAAAATGTCTCAGGTGAGATTAGCTGCTTTGATTTAATTTCACTGCTTAAAACCAAAGCACAGAGGAGGAAACCCCTACTCTCATTTAGCAGTAAATGGTTAATAAACCTTGTAATATAAATATAGCTTAAATACAATACAAATAGTAAACCACAGAGGTTTCAGCCTTGCAGGGTAACTCTTCAAATACAAAAGTGATAACAAACCAGAGCGGCTTCTCATCTCCTGCCCAGCTCTGCGCAGGCGTAGGAACTCCTAACGACACAAAAACTGCCAAAGAACGTGGGGTTATTGGGAATCCCAAATAAAACTCCCAGAAGCTGGGCATCCCCAGATCTGCCTTTTGATAAATATCTTAAACCCACCAGTCCCTGACATCCATTTTCTGACACCCAAGTAAAGCAGGTGGGTTTTCACACCCGCCAAGCAGCAGCCACGCAACTCTCGGGGAGGCTACTCAGCATCACACCAACAAACATGGCTCCTTGCCCCTAATTTTTTGCACACACTTAAATTTTTGCACCCCCCTTCTAGAGAGGTTGATCCCTGCCCCAGCAGCACTGTCACCAGGGATGTCACGTTACCTTGGGAATGCCTGATGCGGTTTCGGACAAGCGGGGGTAGGTGTAGGAGCTGTAGGAATGTCCTTGCTGGTGTGTTTTAAAAGCGCTTGCTCCATAGGGCATGGCTGGCTCCTGCAGACCAGAGCCTGACCTGGACCTCTGCCTCATTGCTGGCTGAGGGCTCGCTGGGTCCACATAGGATGACTTTGGCCTCTTGTCGTAGTCATCCTTGCCCAGACCATGTCCCCAGTCGCTGTCGCTGTACTCCAGCCTCTCCTTGGGACACTCGCTCTGCACTGATGCTCGGGACGGGGTGTAAGGAAAAGGATCTCTATAGTCCAGGGAGGATCCGCTGGGGATCCGCTGATACTCCAGCTTTAGGCCACCATATTCCAGTGGTTTGGGCTTTGTCTCCAGGTGTGCACGGTAATCTGGGAGGAACTTGGCGAGGTCCGACTGCAGGGGTGTCACTTCCGAATAATAGATGTCCCGGGAAGTCACCTTCATCATGTGCCCATTCTGCTTGGCAGCATAGCTCCCTTTGTAGTACCTGTCTAACTCTTCCCCGTAAAGACTCTTGTCTTGGTATTTTTCCACAACATAGTCTGTTGTAGTGTCTGATTCACTGGAGTACTGGGAATACGTGATATAACCATTTTCTTCCTGGTGCCTTGACACATGGTTTGCGTTTCCTTGGTGGTGGGTGGGAGGACTTTCCTTCCGCAGGGAATTGGATCGTGTCACTGAGATATTGTCAAACTCTTCCAGCAGGCCATTGATTGAAGTATCCTTTCGAGGCTTATTACCTCTAACAATAGTCTGGGAATAAAAAATTGCTTTGATTAAATACCAATCTTCATTTAATATCTGACCAAGAAAACCACTGAAAAGAAAAAAAGTCTATGGTTCAACCCCAAAATACCCGTAGCAATCTGTTAGGTTCTTCAGTCACTACCTCAGAATAATCCATTGCTAGAAAAAAAAATCTCAATAAATACTTACAACAGAACAGGCAGAAATGAGTGAAAAAAGAGGGGTTAAATTCAGTGTACATCATAAGCTGAGATTTGGCATGCAACCCTAAGTCATTCTTAAAAAGCCCAGTTTAAGAGGTGGGTGGTCAGCAGCCAACAGCAGAGATGTTTAAAACCACTACTTATTTTTTATTTGTTATTATTCATCATTTGTTCATTGTCTACATCAAGTGAAACTGGTGGGCTGAATCTGATTTAAAGGGTATGGATAAACTAAACTAAAACGGTTCAGCGGTCACTTCTGTGTGTTATTTTAACAAACTGCTGGAATGGAAAGTAGCATATAATTTAGTAGGCATGGGGTTTGGCCTTTCTTTGCAAAACACATCCAGGTATGTTCCTGGGTAGCAGAAGTACCGCTGGGGATAGCCTCTTAGTTAACAGTAAGAGACGCTTGGGGAAGAGGGAAATCACTACATCTCCTTCATACAACACAGCATCCAGCAAACCACTGCACACAACCATGGCTTTGGGACATCCACATCATGGATGCCATGTGGTGGCAGAGGTGGAGACCCTGTTTGTGTCCTAATATTGCAATGTCCTCTGTAGATCCCCCAGCCACGGATGACAAATGTGTAGGAGCACGGCACACGTGAACTTGTTCCCACGGACTGCCCACAACCCCCTGCCCATCCCTACTCTTCTGTCCAAAACACTGGTGCTCTTGGGAGGAGGGGAGGTGAGCAGTGCTTGGTTACAGCTCTCCTTCACGAAAGATTGACTATTTTTAGCTAGTAGCATCTGAAGATTGTAACAACTTGAGGTTGCATCCATCTTTCAGGAGTTGACTCCCACTGAGTGCCGCTTCACGTTTATAAACACCCCAGCAGAGTAAGATGTGCAGATTAAGGGCCAGGGCCATAAATCAGTGCAGCTCTACTGAAAACACATTTGCTTTGCTGATCCGCTTCAGTTCTATATCTACAGCCGTTGTCTTATTTAACTTGCTGATTTTTTCCATGGTGACTCTGATCAACCCAAGGAGACGTTCCTCTGCGAGTTGCAGCCTGTCCAGGCTGCACGCTGACTGTGGTGTATCAGAGGCTAACCGTGGCACATGACGCCAACTGTGGCGTACTGGACCCCGACCACAGCACATCAGGTGCTCACCACAGCGTCCAGCCTGGCCACCGGGCCTTGGCTCAGTGCTGACAGAGAAGGCTCCCCTCCAGACACGGCAGAGCTGCTCAACCCCAGCCTGAAAGCACGCAGGGACTCAAGACTTTGTCAAAACACGCATTTCATCATAATAAAACCACTTTTTCACAAAACCAACAGCAATGTGCTTCTCTGTTATTCAGCAAAAGGCAGCTGAGAAAAGCCGGGCTACAAGCAAAGCAGTCCTGACCTCACACTGATCCCTGCTCTGATTTATGTCCGTAATTACTTGCCTAGTTTGCTATTTTGAAGCTAGTAATACTGAAACAATAGGACAGCAAAAATAAGGGACAGCAAATAGATCACTCCTTTCGCCTCCGAAGCCATTCAGCAAGACGAGAGGAATTGGTTTAATTCGGCTACAGCCTCTTTGGCAGGATGACTGCGTGATCATTCATATTTAATTATCACATAATAAACCAGCAACGCTCAACAATGAAATGCTTATAATTGAAAACAAGATTGAAATACCCAACTGCCACCCTGCTTCCCCTGTGCAAATGCATGCCAAGGACTAAAATGCCAATTTAATACTGTCCGTGGGACTGGCCTTCACAAAGGAGAGATGTCCTGCAGCAACCTGCGTTGTGGCTGCACAAAGGGACCCTGGAGCCAGAGGGAGCCCCTGGGAGTGGAGCAGCCCCATTGGTTATAGAACAGAGTTTTCCCTCTGCCTCTTCAGGCAGATGCTCTCTGGAAGCAGGATTTTTACAGACACCTTCAGAAGGAAAATTTAGAAGAATGCAGCTGAGGATTTATCTGTTAGGGAATTCACTGATGACTAAACCCTGCAGTTCAAGGATTTTCTGCAGACAGGCACATGCTTAGGAGTCAACTTTTTGATTATGAGGATTTAACAAAAGTACTAATAGTAAAACAGTCTTGTAGGAAACTCCTATTTTCCATAAAAAGCATTTTCCACCAAAGCCCCAGTCTGATCAAGCAGTCTTGGTTAGCTGCAAGACCCCAGTGCCATCTCATCCCAGCTGATGAAGTTTAAAGGGATTAAGAACTAAAACCCTTTTCTTCCAGCACTTTTGAGGACCACCGCTGGCAAACACTGACTTGCAAGGGTGATGGCTGTAATTCCTGTTTGCTTCAGGCTCCTCTCTACAAGAAAATGTAAAGGGCCAGTGCAAACGGAGGATAAAACTCACTTATTTCAGAGGCACATTTTCTACAGAATACTCAGTGCTTTATTACTACTAATAACAAGTATTAATACTATGATGTTTATGATAATTAAGTTATGATAATTATTTATTATTAACAACAACAACAGTTTTTCTATTTGCTTTGATTTGTCTTTAAATTTAACACTTCTCTTACGTGAAAGGACATACATCTCGGTGAGATGCCCCTTTAGCTACATCAGTCAGCCTATACGAGCTCGATTTTTTCCAGGGAAACATCTACCATTATTCCTGTCAAAAAGTGCTAGTGTCCATAGAGCAGATAATTTGGGAAATGTTTCACTGAGACCCTGTGAAATACGCTATAGAGTCAAGTATTTTGCTATCTGAGTAGAACTTCAGATGTTTATACAGAAGTCTGAAATACAGCGGGTGCCTCCCTAGTGGGCATAACAATTTACTAGGCTTAAAAAATGAATTAATATAGGTATCATTCTATGAGTAATAAGAGTAACTGCTCTGTAAGGATGCCCACAGAGCACTGAAAATTAAAAAATAAAATCAAAGAAGATGTCAAAAAGATTGAAACATATGTTGTGCCATGTTAACCTGTCCCGAAGTAATTCACTACAGAGAAAGTGTGCGCCAGGGGCTCACCAGCACCCACAGCTTTCCTGGGAAGTGCAGTATTTGCAGAAAGAAGCCAGAGACTAAGAACAGCCATAGCCATGGCCCAGATTCCCAAACCCAAAAGCCTAATGTTAGCACCAGGGCCAGAAGTACCCAGCTTCAGTGGAAAGACCAAGTTGCTGACGTGTGGGTCTCCATTTCGGAATGTAGACTCGGGTGCTACATCGGTGAGCAGAAGGAAAACCTCCTGGGAATGAAATACAATGGCAGGAATCACAAAAGATGGGAAATTCTAGCTCTAACTTAAAAAACAAAACAAAAACCTTGAAAGAAAATGTAACAGGTAAAGGCTACATCAAAAGTGATATAACCATGGTTATCCTGGTAATTAGTCTCATAGGAACTAGTTTTGGCAATTTTAAAGGCTTTATAAACTGAAAAAAAACAACTTGTGTTTCCATATAAGGAGGAAATTCTATTTTTATATATATTCTATATCTATTTATATAGAATTTTTTTCTTTTTTTTTTTTTCTGAAACACTTACTGGTTTCCTCATTTTTAAACTTAAGGAATTTTCGAAGTTGCTGCAGGTAAAGTAGATAGTTAAAAGTAAAGCATTATTCGCTAAGGTTGGTGGGCTAAGATTTATGAGGCCTTTGTTTCCAACTATTGAGACTGTGTAACAGAAACATGTACAACACCCTGGCACGCATGAAAAACAGAGACTGAGCTCTAGGGCAAGCACAGCTTTCACTGGCTTCACCATGGAAAGATGGGATTTGCTGTAGTCGATACCCCATGTTTATTAAAGGATGTTTTTCAGCGCATTGTGCAATTTAGGAGGGATCAATGCTAAAACAGATGAAGGAGTGCTGGCGAATTTTATGCTACCGTTACCGCTGTACATTAAAATCAATGGGGCGCAATCTCTGTGAATTAAAGCGTGGTACTCTGAAGCTGTAGCTCTCATTTCATTTCCATTGCTCTCTGGACAGGTTTGGCGTTTGCTCTGGAGCCCGGTGACAGTAGACATCCTTCATGGTGTTTCTGTAGCGGCCTGTCCTCCGGTGATAAGCTATAATGGATCTGTCCGTAAGAAATGCTGTCTTGCCTTGTTTCCAAAAGGAGATGAAAAACAGCTTCTGCACTCAAATACTGTATTAACCTTGACAATAATGAAGTGGGTAATTAACTGTTTTGCCCTAATACGACCTTGCATTTACTGTCTTTAAAACTACTATACTTTACACACTCGTTAAGAATGTATCATCCTTTGTCCTCCCAGAGCTGTGTTCTCAGAAGTCAATGAGGATTTAAAATCTCTGTGATGTGCAGGGTGAAAAGAAAAAAAGAAAAAGAAAAAAAAAGAGGTCTATTAAGGAAATGTGCCTTTATCCCTTTATCTAAACTCTGATTTTGCTTCTAGCTAGCTTCTCCCCTCATCTGTGTTACACATAAACTAAAAGCACAGCCTATGCATACCTGAAAATAATTTTTTTTCTTAAGAAAAGGTGCATAAAGCACAGCTGGTCTAAGTAATCTAAGTGTAAGTGATGGACGTGTTGGTAATTTATCTTCCTGTGTTGCAAGACATTCAAAGTATTTGAAGCTGTGTTCATGACACCACATTTTACTTCTCAGCGTAAGAGAATGTGAACAGCACTACCTTGGGGAAAAAACTGATCCTTGCCATCAAGTCGGAAGGAAAACTCCAGCTTTCCCTGTAAACAACAGAATTTTATAGCTGTAGCCAAGAGTGTAAGAGGTGTCAGGGGTCTGCAGCCGATCTGTTCTCACCAGGGGAACAGGCTGTGAGATGTCAGACCAAGAACAGTCCTTAGAGGACCTCAAAACAGCTG